GACAGTTCAAGGTTTTGCGCCAGTCGCTCAAAAAAACGAAAGTGAAAATTTGTGTACAGGGCTTCGTAGACATACCCCGTTGATATGTTTCTTATACGAATATCTTCTATCAGTATCTTAAAGAATATTATATCGAACATAACATCAATAATTCTAAATGTTAGTGGACGGGACTGGAAAGAAAGCGAGAATCATTTTTGCATAGGCGCAATGTATGCCGTTAACCGAAGTTGTCTGGTAAGTGTGAAAAGTACAGAAAATGTATGCAGCAAATAAAATAAACCCGGATTTCCTTGATATTAAATTGGTTATCCCTTGATATTTAATTGATTTAAAACATGTTTGTATATCCGCCGTAGAGCCAATCCTCACAGCGGTTTTCGTCTACTCCTCTTTTCAGTCATAATTGACAACTTTTGATAATCTGGACGTGTTCCTCCGTTTTTCAACCCTGGTGGTGGCCTTCGTGGTTTCTTTTGATGATCGTGGCGGCATTTCGGTGATGATCCTGTGACCTCTGCTGTTTTCACTTCGTTTCGATTCTGTCGTCCGCGATGATCTCCTCCTATCTCCTATTCCTGATGGTTTATCCTGTAGCCAGTTGGACGTCGCTACAATGGTAAAGAGTAGCCCTGACTGTTTTATGATTTCCCGCAAGAGATAGAGCGTTCCTAACACGCATATTCTCCTAAACAAGAAGTTTATGGAAATTTGGAACCGAATTAATGTGCATTAAATGTTAAAAGGACGAACTTATAATGTAATGAATTGTTCCAAAAGTGCAAATGGAAAGTGAAATCGCATTTGCACGCGTTATTTCGCAGAAGTGTAATTAAACCATGGAGCGGTTGTTATGAAAGATCAGTCCAAATAAATATAATCCCCTAATAGTGAGGTGTTATTCTTATCAAGAAAAAAATTGAAAACAAAGAAATTTTAGTTCACAGATCAATAAGTTTCAGCACACTTCACGTTCTCTTTTTGAAATAACTCAACGCTTATGCCCCGTAATGATGTCGATACCACCGGCATTGGGGTCACTAACTGCAGACATTGGTAGTATAATAGGTGCACCAAAGTTAGCCCGATTTACTAAACTTCCCATTTAGTACGTTTCCCTGTTCTGCTGCCACACTTAAGGTTTTTAGTACTCAGGATACCACTTAGCTAGTAAATGTGGTCAAGGCCCTGGATGCAAGTTTAGTGCTATGCAGTTTGCTTTGTAGCTGAAACAAAATCACATCACAGATTTTTTAACACAGGGGTCGGCAACCTTTTTGAATCAGAGAGCCAAGAAAGCAAATATTTAGAAATATATTTCAGTGAGAGCCACGTAATATATTTTAAGATTAAATTAAATTGAATGTGAATATGATAAGCCTCTGGAGTTCTTCTCTTGAATAATGTTTTTATAATACTCATTGTTAATGCGACTTCGAGTGCTGCATGGATTCGTTGATGGCTTTGTGGTCTGGTTAATATTTGGTGAGGTTAAGCTTCATGCAAGCGTTAAGACTTATATCAGTTGGACGTGATCGTAGGGTGGACTTGGTGTATTTAAGACGTGAGAATGACTACTCACATGCATGCGTAGATCCAAGCAAGGTCAATACGGTAATCCCCACAGTGTGTGGTACGTGACAGGAAGCGTGTTCCAG